CTCCTTTTAAAGGACAAATTCATGAAGGAGCCCATCACTCATCACAGAGTATGCACTGAAGTATTGGGAAGACAAGAGGCAGTAATTTCAGAACAGTCCTCTCTCTTCCATGTTCAGAGGCTCTGTAAGAGAAAAACATTTCATGGCAATGTTTTTCAGAACCATTTATTACTTACTTGACCATGGTCTTAAATTTATGAACTCCAGTTTATGTGACTGCTTAAGGTACCAAATAACATGTGAATTGAAAATTTGTTGGACTCCATAGGAATACATAGACACAGATTGTACTATATCAGGAGTCACTACCTTCTTTTGCTTTTTCCCCTTTCTTGTTTCCACACTTAAACATCTCCACATAGTAACAATTTTCAGGTATCTATATTTTCTCTTATTGATGCATTTCCTTTATTAAAATATTAAGACTTTTGGCATGACAGACCTTTCCTGCCCCATTCGCTGCTCTCCTCTGCCTGTTCTGCTCCCCACTTTGGTGAATCCTCTCACTGCCTTTGTGCCTCTGGCCTGCACCCCAGTTCAGAATATATAGATGAACAAATCTTTTTTTAAAGAAAACATTAAGGCTTACTTTAGTGTAAAATAAGCAAATTAACTGAGAAGGAAAAAGACAAATTTTGATGTTTCTCTCACATGTGGAATGTAAAAAAACAAAACAGAGAAACAGATAACAACAAAACAAAATAAACACTAAAGGTGAATGTAGAACAGCATCAAACAGAGGAAAGATGTGGGACATGGAGCTGGGAGGATGGGAGATCCAGTGATGTATAGTGGAGAATTATTTTGGATTCTGCTGTTGGAAGGTCTATGGCAACATACATAATTTGAGCTGTCAACCACTATCCCTAAATGACACACAGTTTTGTAAGGTTATAAAACAGTTTTTATATTTAACTTCAAAAATAAAAGTAGGGAAGTAAATATTTTGAAGTAATAAAATATTAACATGATTGCAAAGTATCTAGCAAATGTGGTATGGGTAAATAATATTATTCAAATATTGTTTGTTGGAGAAGACAGGTAAGAATAAAATCAATGAGATACCACAGATTCACAGATTATGCAAGCTAATTATTGATTGAGCACATATTAGTGGAGATCATGACTATTTAACATATATATGAGAAACCTTATAACTGGACTTGGATAGAAAAATTGGACTTGAATAAAGAAGTTCTTAAATCCAGGCACTTTCTTCACTTGAAGTTCAAACTCTTAGAAAATGTTACCATTTTTTAAACATTATTAAGAGTAGTGATAATAATTTACTCATCTGTATTCATTAAAAATATTTGCCCTAGAGAAAGAATAGAATGTCATAAACTGATGGGAAGACTGAGATAGAAAAGCTTTCTTTCAGAGAGAAGGAGATTATTTCAGAGAGTAAATGTAGTATGTGGAAATACATAATCCCTTGTCCAAAATCCTTGATAAGTACTTCAGAGGATTTAGTATATTAATCATAAAATGATATGATAATTATAGTGATAGTGATGATGAGTAGGGGGAGTATCTAATA